TGGAAGGGTGATACTTACAACGATAATACAAATAGTGGCGGAGTTTTCAAGGGCTATACTTACCGGGGGAATAAAACGTTACCAGGCTCCTCCACAAACCCGTTCCGCGAACCTTAGAATTATCAACCTAGCTTGAATACCGACCAATCTTCACACCCATTAAGGAAGGACGGCGCGACGTAATTACCCAATGCTGTCTGCTTTTACCAGAAAAGAACTGACGCTGCAAGGTGCGAAACACGCAAGATATCAACGAACACCTCCCAGACCCAGCCTCCTAACACCAAGTGCAATCATCCAAATGCTAACATCCTTTCATACCTACCTACTGCCAAGCAAACTACTCCCCATGATACATCCACTTGCATGTTCAACCATACCGTACTTCAACAAGTAGCCTTGAAGATCCACAGAACATGTAAAAGAACACGTTTGCACATACTTTAAGAGAGTATTTATAGCATCAACCCATAAGCAAATGCCGGCGCTTTAACAAGAGAGATAAAATCGGAAGGAGCTGATCGAACACTTGGAAATGCTTGCGAATTACAACCTTTTCTACCAAATACTGCCTTCAGATTTGGTTTCAATTGTTCAAGATATCTTGCCCTCTTGTATTCTTCATGGTAACAACACAAAGTCTTGAAAGTCTTCCATCTTCGTTCCAGTCTTGTCCAAGTCCAACACCTTTTTTTTTTTTTTTTTAATTTTTTTTCTTTTTTTTTTTTTTTTTTTTTGTTTTTTTTCCTTTTTTTTTTTTTTTTTTTTTTTTTTGTGCTTTTTTGTTTTCTGTTTTTTTTTTTTTTTTTTTTTAAGATTTTTTTAAATATGTACAGTGTGGGAGGGGGTTTGTATGTACAAATGGTTCCGGAAGACAGCACCAGGCCGCCAATATGTCACAAGTTTTCTCAGCACCAGGCCGAGAGAGAAAAAGTACAGATAAATAAAATATGTACAGTATGGGGCGGAGGCACGGGGCCTCCAGGTATATACAGTTTTGGCACCTAACCAGTAAATGACATATATACAGTATGAGGTAGGGGGCACCAGTCCCCCCAGGCTATTTACAGCGGATTTTGTATGTACAGAAGACTTGGGCACCAGGCTTGCAGGAATATTTACAGAGAAGGAGTATATACAAAGTTTGAATAGCACCAGGCCAAAAAGAAGCGGAAAGGAAAGAAAGAGGGAGCGGAAGGAGCAAAGGAAGGGTGGCACCAGGCCTTTTTTTTTGGTTTTTTTTTTTGTTTTCTAGTTTTTTTGGTGGTGCTAGACTTGAACTCGACCGAAACTTGGATAGAAGACAGACAAGACCTTGTGTTGTTTCCAGAAGATTACAAGACGGTAAGATACCCTGACCAAGAGAAACCAGCACTTCAGGCAGTATCTAATAGAAAAGGAAAACACAAACAAATCCTCATGTTAAACCAGCCCCAACCAATCTTACCTTTCAGGCTAAAGTTAGCCAGCATCTACTTATGAGAAGAGCTATAAACACTCTCACACGTACAATAGGTGTTCCAGTACATGACCGCTTCACCACAAGACTACAAGTATCCATACAGTATGATCTCCCATACAAGTGAATATACCACAGGTTTCGTCTACAAGGAAGCAAGCAGGTAATCCCTAAAAAAAGATAAGATGTCAGCATATGGCTCTAATGCATAAAATACGTTTTATAAAGATGGCTTACCAGACATTAGCATTCTTCAGAAAGCACTCAATGCAGTCGACCAAGTCCGAGAAGTATCCATTGATACCGTACGTGCGCCCTCACACCGCCAATCCCATTCCGCAAGAGACAGTTTCACCAGATAAGAACGGTCACTTTAATCCTTCATTTCAGAACAAGCAAGACGATCAAGTACCCTCACAAAAGCCAACAACCCGCAGCCCACTTCCCGAGTGAGCGAATTTACCTAGGAACAATGTGGAATAAAAAAAAAGTGGGGGAAAAGAAAAAAAAGGGGTGGTGAATAAGGGAATGGGGAAGGGAAGGATTCGCAAAAAAAAAAGGAGTGTTAAGAAAGGGAGATGGACATGAAAAGGAATGGGAAAGGACATAAGAAGGAATGGTGATGGAATGGTGAAATAATGGGAAAAGAATAAGAAAAGAATAGTGATAGTGGAAGTTAAAACAGGAAAAAAAAAGAAGTAAATAAAGAAACGAAGACAAGGGTGAAAGGACTGTTATTGCTTCGGAGATGTTAATAGATAATATCTGTTCTCACGACTAGTAATTTTTGTACTACCCCAAGCACATACCACGATCAAATAATTGAATACTGTGCTTCCACTCTCAATTTACCGAATGTTTGAAAAGTCCGCCCACTTTTTTGAAAAAAATTGGCCAATTGTGTGAAGTTAAATTGCCCAGAAAAAAAAATTATTTTGCCCGAATGTTTGAACTTAATTTGCCCACCTTTTCGAAAATAATTTGCCCACTTCTTACAAATATTTTTACCAGCTCAGTGAACTTTTATAAAATTATTCAAAATGAATTTCTTTCAAGAAGATGGTAGAGGCGGAATTGTAGATGCATCTGGAGAAGAAGCATCAAATTTTGTTGTAGAACCCTCATTTCGCATGACAAAATTGGTGAATCTCAAGAACTACATTAAAAATAAAAAAGTAACCACAGATAATGAAGAGCCTAAGGATATTGACATGTCAGAAGCAGCAAAAAGGGTAGAAAGACCAACTGTTTACAACTATTACACAGATGAAGATCGATTGCGTTATTTCTATTTCATTCAGGAAAAGCTCATGAAACCGTCTGAAGCTGCCAAAGCCGCTAACGTCAACTATGAGACTGCAAGAAAGTGGAAGCGTGCTTACGATCAAGATCCAGATAAGAACATTCCCTTTAAAAAAACCAATCGCACGTCAAACAGACCCGAAAGTAAGCTAAATGAACAACACAAAGCTTACCTTACGGACTTTTTTGACGAAAACCCATCAGCTGTCATCCAAGATGCGGTGGAAAATCTGACCAAAAGCTTTGAAGGTCTGCAAATAAAGAAAAGTAGAGTTGCAGAGTTTATGAAAGAGGATTGCAACCTCAGTATCAAAGTAGTCACCCGTCACCCTGTAGCCAGAAATAGCAACAAAACATTGGAGGCTCGTGCTAAATTTGTTGAGGAATGGCCTGCTAAAGGGATGGATTTTATGAAAAATTGTGTTTTCCTTGACGAATCGGGTTTCGACATAAACATGCGCCGTTCAAGAGCTTGGTCACAACGAGGAACTGAGGCCGTTATTGAGTCACCCTCTGCGAGAGGGGTTTCGCATACCGTAATCGGCGCGGTATCAGCATTTGGGGTTGTAAATCTGAGTATCAGGGATCCAGGTAACGTAAAAAGAAGAAAAGTGGTAGGAGCCACTAAGCGTAAGGTACCTGGTGATGCAGCATCAGCAATCCCTAAAGGTACAACTGCTGGTCATTACCTTCAGTTTATAAGCGACACCTTGGATATCATGGACGAATTTCCAGATATGAAAGGATTTCACATTGTTATGGACAATGCCCCAATTCATAGTCATAGCCTTGTTGACCCTTTGATTGAAGAAAGAGGTTATGTACCCGTATACTTACCTCCTTATTCACCTGAGCTAAATCCTATTGAGATGTTTTGGAAAGTGTTAAAAGATAAGGTTAAACGTGGTAAACTTAGCAGTTTAGAGACTCTTACTACTAGAATAATTGAAGGCTGCCACGATGTTCCCATCGAACACATTCAAAATTTTATCCAGCATTCTATCAATACTTTTCCCAAATGTTTAAATAAAGAATTGTTATAAAAATTTAACCATTACTTTGGCCATTTTATTTCTAAGAAGTGGTCAAATTATTTTCGAAAAGGTGGGCAAATTAAGTTCATACATTCGGGCAAAATAATTTTTTTTTCTGGGCAATTTAACTTCACACAATTGGCCAATTTTTTTCAAAAAAGTGGGCGGACTTTTCAAACATTCGGTAAATTGAGAGTGGAAGCACAGTAAATTCCTTGAAAAGCATTTCAAAGAAGCCAAGTTAGGATTAATTCGTGCAATCAAATTAGGCATGTAAGAGTTCATGTCTAATAATTTTATAATGCTTCGAGTATATTAAGTTTCGTGCTTTAACTTAAGTCACGATTCCAAAAACCTGAGAATCCACTTAATTTTTCTTTGTTTCATTTAAGAAAATCATTTAAAATGTTTCTTTTCCATGGCAACCTTTTCATAAAAGATTGAAAAATCTCTTAAGCCAATTCTAAAAAAGTAAAGCACAACAGATCATTACATTGCCTAGGAATAGCAATATTACTTGTTCCTTTCATGCCGAAAAATTATTCTCTTTTTAATCAGATTTATTTCATTCCTGAGTAAAAAGAAAATCCCAAAAGCACCTTGTCATGTAGGATTATGAAAGCAAAATAGTTGACAGGGACTATCAAATTTCAATAAGATAACCGAGTAGAAAAAGGATTACAATTGCAAGCGGTTTACATGAAAGTTTTAATGTTGAGACTCTATAAATCATTAGCAAACTTTCCAATTGAGATGAACCATGAGTTTTATTTTTATAATAACCTAACCTACGAAATTAAATAGGATTTATTTAACAGTTGCTTCATTTTATAAATTATATAATAGTTAAACAAAAGAATGTTTTTATTGGAAAGTATATATAATAGCATTCAGCTGACATGGTGTGGCCGTGACCTAGGGTAAAAAACAAAATACTTAAAACGAATATTTGCAAATGAAAGGTTAAATGGTCGTTTGGGAGTAGTTATCCATTTAAATCTGGGTAGATATACCCGTGCACGAGTATCAATCTAATTTTGATCAATAAACAAGGTGCGCAAAAAAACTAACTTCATTTACTTAAAAGGGTACACAACCTTAGTTTCCAATCATTTTGAGTTAATTCCTAGCACAAAGCTACAAACGCCTTACTTTCATCCATTCACCTACAGCAATAGAGGATCTTTTTGTGCAGAAAGATCTACTCAATTGAGTAATAAAAATTCAGATCTAAAACCTATAATTCCCTGATTCGTTGCGTCTATCTGCGAAAGATGAGGATCTATTTGTGGGAAATACTTACCGACATTGTGGAAATAAAAATTGGAATCTGAACCCTTAAATATACCTCCTTCATTCCATTTACCGGTAGCGGGTAGCCATCCGTCTATGATTGTACACTTTCCTACTGGAGTAATAATACCAGAATTCCCTAAAATCTAAAAATAGTTTCGCACATCTAATTTATCCTAACAAGATAAGCATTTCTCTATGACTATTAAATCACTCATTTGCGTTAACAAAACAAATAAACCGAGCTCCCAACATAAGTGTAGGTCATCACATGAACCAATGTGGTTATATACTTGTCTGTGGATGGTTAAGACATCATCCAAAAACAAAAGCTGGCGTGGTTTAAAATTTTGAAAGTGGCATTTATTAATTAGCAAAAGGTTAGAAATTTTTCTTGCTTTTTTTTTCAAGTCCTCATCATAGCTTATAGATGGTGAAATAACAAAACAAGAACTATATTCTCGGTATGTCACATTCTTTACATTCACTAAATGTTTCACCATTTTTAACAATCCCACCATTATGACAATGTCGGCAATGTTAGTAACAACTTTTCTTTCTTCGTTACTTGCGTAGGGTACAACAGTTAGGATTTAAGACCAACACGAAGCAGCCGAATAAGCCTTTATGACTTCAAGTGCTGCGTAGAAACGTGTTATTTCATCGAATGCGTATTCAAAAAGTAAATTTAGTCTACCCATGTACCAGTTAGTCATTTGTAAAATCTGGGCCCCATCTTATTATAACTTTGCTAGTTTGGCTTTGGGGAAAACGCTAAAACCTACCTTATCGTCTGGTGGTTCAAGTGGAACAGAACGTGCTCATTACCACGTTTGGCAATGGACTTTGATAACCTTTATCTAAAGAAAATGGTGGATTATAACCGTGAATTTTGTGAAAGCTTGTTCGTGCTTTGGAATATAATCCACTTTTATATGGATTTGATGAGTAGACTCCCGTAAAGTATCACATTCTTTTTGGTATTATTCGAAGACACTAACAAAAGATTTGATAGTTAAGAGATCTTCAGCAATACTACAATCATCATCGGCACTTCTATCCAAGATAAAGTTTGATCAAAAGGCCCTAATGTCTGACCAAAACCGACATTACTAACAGGATGCTACACGAAGTCGGATAAACATACACCATCTTTGTATCTCACATGAAAAAAGAAGAAAAGTCGCTTGTTCCATAATGGTGTTGGTATTTTCACCACCATTGAATTTCGGTCTCATTTTGGTTGTAATCCTTTGTAAAAGTATGTAGAGGTTCAATCAAACATCTTTAAATAATTCGAATAACTAATCTCTCTTTACATATATTTGACAGAGACATGACGAAGAGCAAAACATTGTTTTAAAGGAATGTGATGTGGTTAAGTCGGCGCATGCTGAACTTGTAAATAAAGTGGGATGTAGGCTTTTCGCTTATCAACTTGTAATTTTTTATTTAGTAAAGGGTACGTAAATTGGCGAACATTATGCATGATTACACTACTGATCTTTTGAATGCAACTATAGGGTATATTTGCTGTTAAACCAGCCCGAAGTATCTCAATATCACAAGACCTCTTCTTCTCTACATCCTCCAAGTGTTAATAGTGATGTCTCCCTTTTTTAAGGATACATGGCTTTTTTGAGACAGTAAAATGCGTGTCTTTATGCACGTTAGCAGCAACATTATCGTACAGTGTAACCTCCTCCTAAAGGTAATCACCAAAAAAGAATGTTTGCAGTGGATAAAGAGCTACACTGTAACAAATCCCCAGCAAAATCTTGCTGGCTATGTAATCCTTATAGTTTTTACGGATCAATACCTGTAAATTGCAGTTATCTTTGATAGGTTTATAAATATTTAGGTCAAAAACGTACAGACAGTTCAGAATCAACTGAAGCTCTCAGTTCAGTCACAGCGGAAAATCAGTAGTGGCACCAGCAATATTTCTTTCAAGTCTTGCCAATCGTTGATGTACAAAAAATGTCGCTCTACCTGCAGTAACATTATTGAGTGCTAGCTCAAACGAAGTAACAATTTCTGGTGTAGGAGCAGATGTTGGTTCAGCGGTGAGAACATCAGAAATACCAGTGAGTCTTATTTGAGAATATACGAATGCGGGGGGCTTTTGAAATAAGCATTTAATTAATTTTGTGTATTTGACAAACACGGAATCGGCATAGTAAATATTGTTGTCAGAATTAGCATATCGGGAAGGTTGTTAGCCAAGACACATTTTCAGCTGGAAGACGTTTCATGATAATTCTTTCTTTCGAGGGTACAGAGATAGTCACCAGTTTTTTTATAAACACGATCTAAAATTGGTAAGTTAGTAATGTTTTGAAGTTTTGCTCATTTGACTCACAAAACCATTATAGTTTAAACGTTGGAAATAGGACGATTTTAAACACGTGTAGCAGATCATATGGTGATGGTAAAAAAGAAATTAGCCAGTATGCAAGAGTTTTATCACTTAATTTTGTTAATATCCAAATATAGCTCTCTTTCGTTCTCTGTTTTGGTAGCCAGTACATAGTGAATGTCAAGTGCGTAACCCAGAAAATACTCCGAGAAACTATTTCATACCTACCACCATAGGTGTGTAACACGCTATCTATCCAAATCTACAGGTAAAACGGTTGAAACCTTGATCTACATTATATTTATATTAAATCGGAATTGGTAACGTAATAGCAAAGCTACCGTTTTGAAGCAAAAAATAGGGCGCTTCTTTGAATCCGTGATTCGATGGCCAATATGACGGGCGATACTAAGGAATCAAAAGGGCGTTGTTTTAATTTAACTGTGCGCTTTTAATGGCGACATTAGGTCAAGATTCTGTTGAGAGTACTGCTTGTAAATAACGGCTAATGTCTGGAAAACCGCTTTATGCGGCCTGGAATAAGCACAGAACTGGTGGTGACTCTTATTCGCCGAAAAAAAAATATCTTCCTTTTTTTATATTCATTTCGGTTTACTCTAGGCGACATCAACTCATGGTTTAGCGGGACTCACTCTTCAATTATAACGGTTTATTTCTTGAAGTCTGCGCGCTGTTAACTGTATCATATATTGCACTGGCCGCGGGTCCTATGCGCTCAATAAAAATATATCTCTGTTTTTATTCACTACAACTTCTTAATGACGGTATCAAGCGAAGTCTCTGCAGGAATCATTCTATGAATAACGACGTGGGTATAGAAGCTTGCTTGCTCTTGACTGGAGTGTCTGATACTATTGCTGTGTTTGTTTTATTCTTAAGAAAAAAAACCAATTTTTTTCTTTGATCCCATTTCTTAATGACGACATCAGGTCAAGGCTATGCTGGAATCACTCTCTAAGAAAAACGGTTTATGTTTCGTAGCCTGCCTGTTACGGACTGAAGTATGTGCTGGACAGCTTTTATCTCTTATGTGCAGAAGAAAAAAAAATCTTTTATTCGCCTTACTCTCTTAATGGCGACATCAAGTCATGGCTCATTCGGAATCGCTGTTTATGAATAATCTCATATGTCTGGAATAATGTCTATTGATGATGAAAGTTTGCACTGCACTGCTGGCGTTATGTACGCACTCAAGAAAAAAAATTTTTTTTTTACTCGTTCCGCTTTCGTAATAGTGACATCATGCCAAGGCAATGCTGGAATCGCTCTATATGAATAATGGATTATGTGTCGAAGCTTGTTTCTTCCTGAATGGAGTTTGTTCTGCGCCGGTGTCTGTCATGCACTCAAGAAAAAAATATTTACTTTTTCGTTATACATTCGCTTTTGCTCTTCGCGATATTATGTTTACGATCTGCTGGTATTATTTTTCATGATATGCTAACATGATGTTTCTAAATTCTAATGGTTCGGGTATGTTGATATTAATTAGGTAGTGAAGCTGTTTTGTAATAGGTACCATGGAATTGGATGATGAAAAGCTGGTGCCGTTGTTTGGGAAGTAAACAAGGTATATTTTTCTAAAAGCAGAACAGGCAATGATCTGGGTCGTAGTTTATAGCCTTTTGCTGATTTCACATATACAAATTTAGTATGATTGCATCTTGCTTCAGAAGATCTTTTACGAAGATGAATACACGGCATTTCCTGTTACCTATATAAAGCACTTACTTTCAAGAACATCTTTAAGAAACAATAAGATGTAACAACTAATTTAGCTTATTTAAATTATATACTTATGCCTTTTATTTTTTTACTTTAGGGATACTGGGTGGTAGGGTGATGTACTGAAGAAGAATAAAATTCGCAACTGTATGCTGGAAACAAACTTGAAAACTTATATAGTAAGAAAAAGAAGGGGTAATGGTTAACTCCCCGTATGATCTAATTTCCTGTTCATGTCTCGTATCTAATTAGTGTAGGATCTCTACTGTGTGTCACAAGGCCTGCTACAACTATATAAGAATACCAGACTACGTTTGTATTCCAGCAGCGTCAAAGATAATAGCGGAAGCATGTTTAAGAATAGGGGATCTTGTTTTTGAGAGTGTTCTGTAGGAAGGTTTGGTGCCCGGGATTCCAGCTGCAACCAAGAATAGGTAATGGTGATTGCTGTTGGTATTTAGATGTTTGTTGATTTGATTTATTACTTTATTAGGCTTTTAGACTTGATGTTTTTTGAGATTATGATTGAGGACGAATGTTATTATTGTACAAGGTCTCGGTGTATAGACTCGGCTGTGAGGTTTGAGGACTTATTGAATTGTAGTGACGTACGCTGGCGCTTTATACTTTTCTGAGTATACTGGTTAGTTCTGTAATTGATGCTTTGGACTGCCCTGATGTGTCCATTGAAAAAGTGAAGCCTTGTGGAGCTTTATTTTTACAAGTCTCCGAAGAAGGGTAAATCTACTGGTATAGAACAAGGAAATTATTCACTAAACTTATAGTCATTATATAAGCTTTATAAGATTCTACGTCAAGTAACATAATTATTGGATGCGATACTTCAATTATACTGAGGTTTCCATAGCAAGATCCTAAAAGGTACAGCATTAATGCAAGTATATCAATGATAATTTTCAAGTTTAACTAGTTTTTTAGGAGTCCTATACATGCCGAGCTATATCTAACAGAAAAACATATCAATTATGCTGGTAAGACAGTTGAGTACTCTTACTCGGGAGATTCACGGGCTGTTTTATGCAAGTTGCAATCGTTAATATATGTGGTTTGAAGTTCTGCGCTCATGGTTTCAGATGGCGTGTATTATTGAACTCCAAGGTAAACCCAGAAATGTATAATATTACCGATATAGGATTAAAACGATATTCTGAATTGATATTGAAGTACATTAAAAATCATTATCACGGCCAAAATACAAAAAGTCATGATAAGTATCCTTATTGAACAGCAAGTATTTTGCAAGCAGATAATTAATTTAAATGTACAACTTCGATAGAGTTAGTATTGAAAATTGGATAAATTTTTATTAAATAAAAACGCTATATATATATTACCTTTTTTATTAAATAACTATCAAATATGAAAAAGTGCTAATAACGTGCCTTTGAGAGAGGTCAAAAATAACAATTTCTGCAACAATGATTAAAGCTTTGACGCTTAAAATGATGGAATACCAGCGAATAAGCTCTCATGATGAAGAACACAATTCCTATATATTGACTATTTTTTAGGACCTTAATTGACCAGTATATGGTAAACACGCGTAATGAACTCCATATCAATGTATTATTTTCGACTATATATGTAGGA